AACCTCTGTCTGTGACTGAGCCCCTCTGACATGGCTCCTCTAGTCACTAGAAGATTCCGACAGTGGTTGCTTTCGTAATCGCTTCCAACATAAAAGCTCCTTAACGGAAACACGTCTTCTGGACTCTCTGCGTGACAGTTTCCGGCGAGGAGTGGGTGTCCCTACAGGAGGTCCGGAAACCTCACCACTGTTTTCGCTGGAAGTATCTCTGAGCCATCCCCCAGCTCCCTTTCCCTCAGTTCAGCTTCTCTCCCCTGCTGGTTTCCTCTTCAGCTGCTGAGTCTCTTCCAACCTGTCTGAGCCCTTTCACCTCCCTCAGTTCAGCTTCTCTCCCCTTGCTGGTTCCCTCTTCAGCTGCTGAGTCTCTTCCAACCTGTCTGAGTCCTTTCACCTCCCTTCCTTCCGATGGCAGTTCCCTGACATCCACCTCCCCTCCAGGGCCCCCTTCACCCCCTCTCGCCCCCTCCTCTACGGGCGGTGAGGAGGCACTACCCCGGAATGAACTTCCTTCATCTTCCGATGTCTCGAACACTTCTCTCCACCTGTTGCGGTTCCTGGTCTCGAAGCACTCCTCCTCCTCCGAGTCCATCTCCCCTTCCCCTTCCGATTCTGGGAATCCTTCCAACTCCTCCTCCTCCTCAGTGGTCCCAAAGTATTCCCTCCGGAACCTCTCCACAGGCTGAGGTTTCCTCGGGAACCTTTGATGGAACGTTTCTATCAATACCTCGTCATTGATATCTTCGGCCATTACCCACGTGTTTTCTGACTCCGGTTCTCCTTCCCACGCTACCAAATACTCCACCTGATTCCCCTTCCACCTGGCATCAAGGATTTCTGCCACATGACTGCTGCATTCTCTTTCTTCTATGACCGGTCCCAGTGGCCATCCTTCTCGTCCCCCCTCGTACGGTGACAGTAACGACCTGTGAAATACTGGGTGCAGTTTCATGTGGTTGGGTAACCGGAGCCTGAAAGCCACTGGGTTGACCTGTTGAATGACCTCAAAGGGACCCAACCTCCTGGGTCTTAATTTCTTACAACCTCCTTTGAGCGGCAGCCCTCGGGTTGACAGCCACACCCTATCTCCAACCCTTATGGTTTCACCTTCCCTTCGGTTCTTGTCTGCCTGCCTCTTGTATTCTTCCTTCGCCCTTTCTAAGTTGAGTTGGAGCTGACGGTGGATTGCTTCCATTTCTTCTACAAAATGCTCGGCTGCCGGTACGCTCCATCTCTCCCCTTCTCCCCCTGGGAAAGCCCTGGGATGACACCCATAATTAGCCAAGAAGGGGCTCATCCCTGTGGACACATTCTCGGCATTGTTGTAGGCAAATTCCGCCAGCGCCAACTTTTCTACCCAGTCATTCTCTCTGTCATTGACATAACACCTCAGGTATTGCTGGAGGACACCGTTTGCTCTTTCCGCCTGCCCGTTGGTTTCAGGGTGCCGGGCAGTCGAAAAGTTGACCTCCACCTGCAGTAAGCTCATGAGCTTCCTCCAGAACCTGGAAGTAAATTGTTTTCCTCGGTCTGAGACCACCCTCAATGGCACCCCGTGCAACCTAAAAATGTGTTCTACAAATAACTTCGCTGTCTCTTCCGCCGTGACTGCATGCGAGCAAGCTACAAAGTGGCACATCTTTGTTAGTAGGTCTACCACCACCATGATGGCTGTTTTCCCTTTGGACTTCGGCAGATCAGTCATAAAATCTATCGACACTGCCTCCCAAGGTCGTTCTGGTGTTGGTAAGGGTTCTAATAGCCCCGCCGGCGCCCGCCTTTCCCCTTTGGCTCGCTGGCACTGCTCGCACCCTCTTACATACTCACGTACATCCTCCCTCACCTTAGGCCACCAAAATTCCCTGGTGACCAACCACATGGTTTTGTGTTGCCCAAAATGCCCCGCCGTGGGGCTGTCATGCAACTGCTTGAGTACCCTCCCCCTTAAGTCTCCTTCAGGGATATACAGTGCCCCTTTGTAATACAAAGCTCCATTTCTTTCCTCGAAACCCCTTGATTCCTCTCCCTCATCCCTAAGACCTCTGAGCTTATTCTGGGCGTATTCATCATTCTCTGTTTCTTCTACCAGTTCTCTTTGTCCCACCAATGCCGCCCCACACACCCAGCGGTCCTCTGGAATGACATGTCTCTCTTCGGGTGCTCCCCCCCCTCCAAATATTCAGGTTTGCGTGAGAGGCGTCCGCCCTAATGTTCTCTGGGCCTGGCACGTAACAAATCTCAAAGTTAAATTTGGAGAATTCCTGGGCCCACCTCACTTGCCGTTGGTTGAGCACTCGTGCCGTCCTCCAATACTCTAGGTTCTTGTGGTCAGTGCACACTTGCACCTTATGTTGTGCGCCAATTAGCAGGTGCCTCCATCTCCGGAACGCCTCATGAATGGCTAGTAGTTCTCGGTCATACACCGTGTAGTTCCTCTCGGATTTGTTCAGCTTTCGCGAAAAAAGCACACGGTCTCCACTCTGACTCCTCCTTCCCTGGCTGGAGAAGCACCGCCCCAACCGCTCTGTCTGATGCGTCAGTTTCCACTCTCATCGGTTATTGTAAATCCACATGCAGGAGCTGTTGTTCCGAGGCGAAGGCCCTATTTAGTTCCTCAAATGCTTGCTCCGCCTCCTCCGTCCAAACGAACTTCTTCTTACTGCTGAGACAGTCCGTAATGGGCGCCGTCAGGTGGGCAAAGTTTGGGATGAACTTACGATAGAAGTTCCCAAATCCTAAAAACCTCTGCACATCCTTCCTTGTTTTGGGTGTTTTCCATTCCAGTACCGCCTGGACCTTGCCGGGATCCATGGCCAACCCCTTGTCAGACAGGCGATACCCCAGGAATTCCACCTCCTTGGTATGAAACTGACACTTCTCCAGTTTCACCCACAGCTGGTTGGCTTGCAGCCTGCTCAACACTTCTCTGACGTCTCTCACATGCTGCTCCTCATTCTCAGAATACACCAACACGTCGTCTAAGAAGGCCACACAATTCTTGTAAAGCAACGGCCCCAGGACGTGGTTCATAAACGATTGAAATGTTGCGGAGCCTGCTTGTAGACCGAAGGGCATAACTAAGTATTCAAATGCCCCTAAAGGGGTGAACATGGTGGTTTTCCATTCATCCCCCTTCCTTATTCGTATCAGGTTGTACGCCCCCCTTAGATCCAGCTTGGTGAAAATCTTTCCCTTCCGCACCCTTGTCAAAATGTCGTCAATCCTGGGCATCGGGAAGGCCACTGGTTCTGACACTGCATTTAAGGCCCTGAAGTCACACACCAGTCTCGGCTTGTTCGTGTTTTTGTCCACAAAAACACTGGGCTGCCCCACCGCCCTGGACTCTCTGATGAACCCTCTCTTCAGGTTCTTGTCAATGAACTCTCTTAGCTCCTGCATCTCTCTGTCTGACATGGCGTACAGCTTGCCCACAGGGAGCTGTGCCCCAGGGAGCAAATTGATTTGACAGTCAAAGGCTCTATGCGGTGGTAGTTGGTCAGCTTCCCTTTCGCTGAAGACGTCGCGGAGATCTGCGTATTGTCGTGGTACCTTCACGTTCTCCGTTACTTCAGTCCCTGCTAGGGTGGCTTGGGCCCCTGCCAAAACCTTTCCCTCTTTGCAGTGTTCTAAGCAATGTGCTGACCCAAAAGAAACCACTCTTTGATGCCAGCCCACCAGCGGATCATGTAACGCTAGCCAGCTCATCCCCAATATAATGGGAGCTCCTCCCAAGGTGGCCACATTAAACGCTATTAGTTCGGTGTGCCTTGCCACCTTCATTATCATTGGGACGGTCTGCAAGCTGACTTCTCCTCCCAACAGCTCCCTGCCATCGATCGTGGTTACCTGCAGGGGTTGCTTAAAGGAGCGTCTGTATCTGGTGTTCAGCTGCAAACTCTTTGCTCATGAAATTGCAGGAGCTGCCTGAGTCCAACAGCGCCTTTATCTTTAGAGGGTGTCCGTTTGGCAGCTCTAGTGTCACTTCTATCACTAGGGCGGGTTTAGGAGGTTCTGGCGTGGGCACTTTCACTGCTCTTTGGCCTGGCTGCTGTGCCCCGACAATGGCAGCCAGGCGTTGGCTTTTAGTTGCTCC